GCTGCCGCTCACCTGCCCATTTGCTGCTTGTGGTCCAGGAAGATCCGACAAAGGCCCCTGGTCCCAGCGAGCAGGAAGGAGCCTCCCTGAAAGCTGAACTAGTCCCAGGCGGAGGGCTTTGGGGATGGGGAACGGATTCCAGCCTGGGAGGACTTCTGACATGCAGCGGTTTTCTCTGAGGCCCAAAAGGGGGCGGGGCTTACAGGTGTCGCCGCCAGCACCGTGGTGCCCCCAGTACCGCTCACTGAGCCCTGTCCAGGCAGCATAAAAAACAAACAAGCAAAACGTGCAGTCATGAGCAAGCAAAGGAAAATGATTCCCGTACAAAGGGACTCGGAGACTGAGGATGACACTCAGAAACCCGAGATGGACACCCAGGGCGGGACTCCCCCGGCCCAGCAGAACCGATGGGAGAGATTGCTGTTGGTGGTGTTTTTTAATGCCTCAAGTTACAAAAGAAACTTTCTAAAACTGTGGTTAAAACTCAAAAACTGAACTGAAAAGGGCATGGTCGTTGCTGAGAGCTAATTACTAACATGGGAGATCAAGTGAAAAAAAAATAACTCAAAGAAATGGTAGAAATCACAAAGAAAAAGCAAACCAGATTAGCCACTCAGATGTGACTAATTGGAGCCTCTGAAGGAAAAAGGGAACAAATAGAAGGAAAGTAATAATAAATAAAAGAGGAAAATTTTTCTAAACTGTAGATTAAAAGAACTCTTGGTATCTCTGGTAAATTAAATTTAAAAAAAAATAAGTTTCTTAGACATGCTGGAGACCTTCCTTGGTGGCAAGCATTAAAAAAAATGCCTCTGAACTGGCTTAAATACCTGCAAAGGCAAGATAAATATACTGCACACTGGATGACTCATCTACGGAGACCAACAGATACTGGTATAGACCAGTGAGAGAAAAGAATGACACCTCACAGATCCGTATGCAGCTGGAGTATTCATATCAGTGTAAAAATGCATTTTAGATAGGAAAGGTTTCAGAGAGTATACAACACATGATATTGATGTCAGCAAGCTACTCGGAAGGATGCTAAACCCCAAGACAAGAACATCACAATCCATAGAGAAGATGGGAAGAAAAGTGGTGGGTATTGGGTCTAAATGGAAGATGATAATGAAGGTGTCAAATAAGAATTCTTGAAAAAAATCACAGCTTAGGAAACTAGAATTAAGTATGTCCATAATCTCAGCAAAAACAGGATTTAGGAAGGGGTGATATCCATGGAAAGCAGGGTGATAGAGGCAGCGTCCTCCGAAGTTTGTGGGTTGGCAGGGGTGGGAGGGATGGGTAAGCAAGCTAATTTGTGTGGGAGAGTAGTTTACAATCATTTGATTTTGATGCAATAGTAAAAAAGGACAGGATGACTTAAAACAGCTGGGAATTAAACTTGGAGATTAGAAAAGCAGAGTAGAATGTCCAAGAAATTAACAATTTGATCAAGCTAGGAAAGACAAAAAAAAAAGTTAAAGGATGAAAGAGCAATGACATAGAATAAACAGAAAACATAAGACCATGTGTAACTTTGATACATTAAGTATATGCAGGTTGAGTTTTCCTGCCAAAAGACTTAGGAAGTCTGATTGTTTAAACACAAAATCAAATAGTGTATTGCTTATTGGAAACTCATGTAAGTGATACCAAAAGGTGTCTGAAAAATCATCTCTCTGTGAAACAACTAAAAGTGACACCTAAAATATTAAAGCATTTTAAATGCTTAGCAGCATGTGCAAAAAGTTAAGGAATATTCTCAAGGCCAAAAATTAAGTGTGACTTGAGTACAGAATGTCACCTGAAAGCGAATGGCTGCCCCGAGGGCATTTTCGATCCTGTCACCTAAAGCTTGCAAAAATTTAAGAGTGATAAGCAGGCAGAAGAAGAGGCTGAGACAGTGAAGTGTCAGAACAGAGATTCTTGTGTAACATCTGGACGCTGTACCTCAGTGCAGAAAATGGTGAGGGGCCCTTCAGCCTTGACCTTGACCCCAGATGGATAGAAAAGGAGTAAACTTTCCTGGAAGTGTGTCAGCACAAGCCTGCCCCCCCATGGGATTGGACTTTCCGTGGATTTTGCCTACTTTCAAAGATGAGCTAATTCTTTAATAAAATAATTCTTATTTTATTTAAGAAATTGAAGATCACACAAAAGATGGAAAACTCCACAATAAATTTGATAAAGTTGGCATACATTTTACCAAAACTTCACAGTGATAGCACAAGTAAAATTATGAACCAATTTCATGTATGACAGTAGCTACAAAAATTATAAATAAAATGTTATCCAATAAAATCCTGCAGATTAGCATTACCATCTAGGATTTATTCCAGGAACCTACAAATGGTCACCATCAATAGCTCTTGTGATATATTTCATTGTCTCAATGAATTAAAATCTAAAATCCTGTAGGGAGAATAGGAAAAAGAAGGAAAGTCCTTAAATATGGTGAAATTAATTGCCAAAACCCCCTGTGACTAGCACATAAAAATGCTGAAAACTTTCATTGAAAATAAGGAGCAAATTATGGATTCCTCTTATTGCCACTTTATTATTTAGTATATTACTATACAGTTGTTTCATTATAGCTAATGAATTAATATAATTACCTCCAAAATAAATCTTGAAAAATAATCTTATCTTCATTTGCATATGAAATTATGTTTTTATAAAACCCAGGGGATTTAATTAAAAACATTAGAATTAATAGAAGACTCTAATAAAGTGGGTATAGAAAATCAGTAGAGATAAATCAATAGTTTTTCTTTCCACTGGGGTTAACAAGGTGGAAATGATAAAAATGAAAAAAGTTAAAAAGCTAAGAAAATGCATTTACATTACTGCCTGGAGTATTAAACTCATAGAAATAAAGTTCACAATCAAATGGTAACATCTTTACATGGGAATTTTTTATTAAAGAATATAGTCCAAACAAATAGAAAAACATAGTGTGTTCCTGGATATGAAAACTCAATATTAATTCTTAAGTCCTATTTTATGTGTAAAAAGTAAGGAAAACTCATAAAACAGAAGGATAGGCATATGTGACCATAAAAAATTTAAAGTGCTTATAAGGCTAGTGCCATCAAAGTTAAAAATCAAACTACTGTCTAGGGAAAAATTATTTGCAGTTCATATAGCAGACAAAGATTAATGTCTTTAATATCAGCAACTCCAAAAACTGATAAGAAAAACAAAACACCGCCACAGAAAACTGGCGAAGTTATGAACAGAAAAATTATTTTGCAGAATCTGAAGTCTAAATGACCAATACCCATGTGAACAGATAGGCACAAGTTTGATTACATCCGGTATTAGTACAGATTTAGGAAAAGAAACATTTTCCTACCTTGCTGTAAGGCAAACAACATACTATAACATCTTGAAAGTAATCTCAATATTATCCAAAATTTGAAGTGCACAAACCCGTCCTTTTCCCCACTGATGACAGGTTTGAGAATCTATTTATAGGTCTGAAAACCCAATGAATACTGAAATTGCGTACAGATGGTGCGTGCAGTCATGTTTTAGAAATAGCAGAATACTTTTTTCCTGAGAACTCTTTATCAAGGAGGTACCACCCTTCAATGAATGGTTGGGGAATGTTGAATTAAATAAGCCTTGATTATGATGGGAAATTGGGCAGCTAATGAAACGAGGACGTAGGACCTGTATCTGTTAACCTGGAGGCACATCCAGCATTGTTAGTGAGCAAAGCAAGTTGCAGAGTGGCATGGAAAACGCAAGCCCATTTATGTGGTCATATATGTCTGGATGAGGCTGGAGATGATTAAGGAGAAAACACAGCATGGTGAACATGAATCACCTGAGAAAGGTAGGCAAGGGATTTTTATTAATATTTTGTGTTTTCAAGATTTTTCCACAGTCAGAATGTATTACTCTTGTACATCTTTAAAAAGAGACATGCCAATTTAAATTCAGCAGCTTGGGTCTACAGAAGTGTGAGATGGAGAAATCATATTGATTTCCTCCTCGTATTTACATTAACCCTCCGCAATGCTTTTAACATTCCATCCCTAAACTGCTTTTACTAAAACTCCATTTTCTGTACATTTTCCAATATGAATGGAAGAAAATCCCTTCTGACATTCCAAGTTAACCTAGAAGAAGGAGAGCAAGCTCTCTTGCATTCCCTTCCTCCAGTAAATCACCCGCCATCTTCTCAGAGGGATATGTGATGACTGTTCCAACACTTGCTCCTAAGCTCTTAAAGGAGAAGTTAATCTTACATTGTATGTTCCAGTTGCAAACTTCTTGATAAAATGAATATTCTTACCCACAGGACAAGTAAAGGAAAAACAATGTGCAATGTGTATATGTGTATGTTATAATACTGGTATTTGTAATAGCAAAGGCATAGAATTAATGTTATAAAGGTTGAACTAATATGGGAATATTGATGATTAATTTTATTAAATAATAGAGACATATCATGTCAGTATATTACTTTATGTGCACATATATATATATACACACATAAATTGTATGATGTAGAATCCTGCTTGTTTATGTGGCCCAAAACATAAACATTACCTAAACTTTATCATTTTACTTAATTGTGCTTAGTGATACATAAGTCTTTTTAGAATATACTATGTGCATTATAGAAATTTTATCATTAGAAAGTACAAATTATTTAAAAATGCAGCCTTTCCATGTATTCAGTAATTCTATAAATGGTGATGACTTTTAAATCATATGAAATAGTGGGTAACAAAAAAATAATACCACTCACAAACAAATATTTAGCATTTTAACGTATGTTTTTCTGATTGCTGAAGATGTATTTGCTCTGCTGTGTTCTAGTTGTTGTGTTCCAAAACCACTTTTTTAATAAAATGTCATTCTAGATCCATATGGGATTTTCATTTTATATGATAGCAGCTGAAATTCATGCACTAACAAATACACGAGATATTTTGAGATAAATTTTAGTTTTAGATTCCAGTTTCACTATCTCTTTGTTCCTTTAGGTGGCTTTTACAGTACTTTTTGATTTGGAAGCACTTCTGAAGATATGGTGTTTGGGATTTACTGGATATATTAGCTCATCTCTCCACAAATTCGAGCTGCTACTTGTAATTGGAACTACTCTTCATGTGTATCCAGATCTTTATCATTCTCAGTTCACATACTTTCAGGTAATACAAATGATGCATATTTATCTTCAGAATTTTTTCTTTCCAAGGAAATACCAGTCACATTATAACAAGTTTATATAATAATATACAATATTCACACAAACTTAACATAAGCCTGATGACATCTTAAATAACAAATATAGTCATTCATAAATTGTAACAGTGTTTTTTAAAACTGCGGAAAACTCACATAATAAATGGAGATGTTTTGCATATAGTTCATAAATTACTACAGTGTATAGATATACATATTTTATATATACATGCATATTATATATCTATGCATATATACCCACTCTGAACATGGTGACACACTTTAAAGAGTAGGAAATGTGAATTTAATTCTGAGTGTATGTCTCCCTTCTCAATAAGCCTTAAATATGTCTGCTCAACAATGACTTACATTTTAAATAATAAGAAATAAAACTTACTTTTACATATTATAATAAGTCATCATTGTGATGATTAAATTATAATACCTATCATTTTATTTATAATAACTGGTTATCTATTTTTCAAATATGATATATTGAATAGATTACTTTATACTTATTCAGTCAACAAAGTAATTATTAGTTATTTTCTCTGTGGTTGTTAAGTAATAGCAATATACTCATTTTTTTAAATATTTGGTCAAAATGATAAAATACGTATATATGATATCCTAACTATAAGAAACCTCATATACAGCCATTTTTTTGACTCAAAGTTGCTCATTTATATTATCTATCATGGAAATATTAGAATGGACATTGTATTCTTAATAGATATTTTTAAATATTTGGAGAATAAAGTGGTAATAGGACTTTAAAGAAGTAATTAAAAGAAACAAGATTCCAACTCCTTAGATGAAAAGAAAAATGCATTCTAACTTCACTGATTGTTTGATTAGTGAGACCAAAGCTGTCATTTTCAGAGCAATATTAGCTTCAGATTACAACCTGAAACTCAATATTTATGACACTCGGAGGGGAGGACATGAAAATACAACTCACACAAATGGAAACAAATAACCCTTGAAGGAGAAACAAGCAGGATGAAGAGGATAGAGATTGTAGGGTGGGTGCTATTTTAGATCAAGTTGCTCACCGAAGCCCACTCTGAAGATGTGCCAGATATATGAGCAGAAAGTGAATGAAGTGAAAGAACAAACCATGAGAAGGTCTGGGGCAACATTCCAGATAGACAGAATCACATAGCACCTGTCCTGAGGTGAAAGCATGCTTGAAGTGTTTAAGGAATGGCCCAAAGGCCAGCATGGCTGGGCAGGAATGAACATAGGGCACCACTGTCCTACGGGAAGTAATAAAGTCTTACAAAATGTATTGCTCTGACATACCAGGGTAATCATGGTGGCATCGGCTGGTGTTTATTGTGCAATTACTATATGCCAGCAAGGTGCTGAAGGCACTGTTTCACTTCTCACTGTGATTCTATGAGATAGAGGACATACATGTAAACCAAGATCCCACAAGATTTAATGACTGTCCAAGACCACATGATGTGGCCATGGTGGAAACTCATTCCCTGTAAGGTTAGTTTCATATTCATATTCAAAATCATGCAGTTTCTAAGGTATCTCAGTTTGAATCAACAGAGTGATCTTTAAGAGACAGACTTAGAAATGTGACTCAAGAAAATGTGCTCTGAAATAATCACAATATGTTGTAGGATGCTCATCTTTGAGAGTACAATTTATTTTGTATCTTTAGGAACACAAAATCAAATGCTTTATTGGGTAAACAGAGGGAAAAGCATACTTATCCCCAAATAAATGAAAAGGCATAATTAGTGACTGATGAGGATTTTGCCTCTCCAGGGATACAGGCTAATGCCTTTGAAAACACTCATCACATCACCAATGTGGGAATCGTGTTAAGTTCTGTTTCTTCCAGCTAATGAAATATTAACTTATCAAAATTGCACAGATGTGCATAGGCAGTTTTATCAGAATTTGGGATAGGAATCAAAACTAAGGCAATCTTTTAAATATGATTTTAATGCAAGTGGAGAAGAGAAAACACACAGCACTGAAATTTGAGCTATAAACTAATTAAATTGTTCCTGTAAACTTGCCTGGACTCAGCTGTCAACAATTAGATACTGAATCATTAATGTCTGAGAATAAACAAATGTGATAACAATGTGAAATCTTTCCATATTTTTATTCTGGATATTAATATGAATGTTAACATTTTAATAGTTCTCATGATAAAGCTGTTACTTGGAAAGATGTTTTGATTTGGGAAGGTATCTTCAGAATTATAACAGGAAAAACTGGTCCTTAACTATGTAAGCGGTATAATGCACTTTTGGCATATACACTTGTGAATATTCTTTTAAATAAACTTGCAGTAGTATTCTTTTTATGCCTTCCTCTGGCATGGAAATGGAAACAACTGGAGTAGCTCCTTTGACCAGAAATCAACTCCTTGTCTAGAAGTTCATATGTTCAATCCAGCAACATGATTTCTCACATTAATTTTCTTCTTTAAATATTCTGTTAAGGATTTTAAATTAGCATGAAGGAAATAGACATTTTCTCAATGTCTTTAAACAGTTGCCCATTTACCTGACTGGTACTTACAGACCACACCATTTGTGTTCTGCAGATAATGGAAATGATAAGATTCACCATCAATATGTCCTCTTAATTTAAAGTCTAGAGGAGCAAATGTGGCTTCCAGTATGGCCAAATTCAGAAGCTGAAATGGTATCACAGGGATTCAGTCTATTTCTTCACTCGCTTTTCTCTGCATCCGTATCATTCTTAAGCTGGCTTTCTCCATGTGGTGACAAAGATGGTTCCAATTGGGCATAAAAAATGGAATACCTCTTACGGGTCCGACACAAGTTCTGAGGATGACTCAGGTCATTGTGAATATGTGAATACTTTGTCCAGGCCCGGACCATGGACCTCAGGGAGTCCCTTCTGGACCTCATGTACTAAGAGTGGCACAGAAATGATTTTCCAAAGGAAAATCAGAAAGAGGAAGAAGCCAGGAAAGCTGGAAAAATCCCAATGTGTTACTTTATATGTATAAAACTAAAATCAAGGTTTTTAAAGCATTTCCTATTCTTTCGTATACTCAGAACAGATTCTTCTCTTAAAAGGCTTTCACAGACATCTTAAGCTCTTTTTGATATTCAACCATTTTGGACAACTCACTATATTTCATTTATGCCACAATTTTTCTATTTTAATATCTCAAGATTTGGGATCTGCCTTAAAATCAGTGGTGTTCTGCACTTTAATTTGCAGCATCTTTTATTTTTCAGAGGCACATACAAAAATTGACGACATCTTAGACTTGATGAAAAATGTTGTTCCTCCATGCTTCATACTTCAACTTTTAATGATATACTAATTTGTATTTTTAATCTTATAAATATGCCCTTAAGAGCTGCATCTCTTATATTCCCTTTGTAATAGTAGCCATTGAACCTTATTTGTCCAACACAATGTTTGGCACATAGTCATCAGCATTTGTTCAATGAATAAGCAAATGAATTTGTTGATCAACTAGTTATGAGTGAGGTTTTTGCATTTATATACATGCAAAACATCTAAGCGTGTGCATGTGTGGTTAGATAACAGGCTCTGCAGAAATAACAAAGATCTAAAGTCTTCCATAAAATAGCAGTTTGTTTATCTCAAGGAGTTGATGTCCAAGGAAAGTAGGTGCCTCTGCTCCGCATGGTCATCCAGGAAGCAATCCCATTGAGTTGGATTGAACATATGAACTTCTAGACAAGGAGTTGATTTCTGGTCAAAGGAGCTACTCCAGTTGTTTCCATTTCCATGCCAGAGGAAGGCATAAAAAGAATACTACTGCAAGTTTATTTAAAAGAATATTCACAAGTGTATATGCCAAAAGCTGCAAAAGTCACCCCCTTTCACCTTCCATGCAACTGAACCTGGTCCTCTGGCCACACCTAGTACAACTGGGGCTGGAAGATGTAACCTCTTGCCTTAGGTTGCCATCTGTTCGGCTAAAGTTCTGAAAGCTTTATTACTTAAATGAAGGATAGCATATTAGGGTGTCAGTCTCAGCCATAAGTAAAGACTCTTTGATAGAAGGTTCTTAAGAAAATTTATCAATGTACAATAATACCTAGAAAAGTTTATTTTACAAGACAATGAATATAGCTGATTTTAAACTGTTTTCTTCTACATTAATTAATTGTTTTCCTCTACTTTTGAACATTAGAAAAATGTCCGTTTATTTCAACAATATGTATTAGTTAATACCACTTTGAATGATCACATTTATGTTAAAATGCTTAGTTGCCACCATTTTCCTTCATTCATTTAGGATTTATTGAGTTCTGGCTATCAGGCAGGCACTGAGCTAGACTGGTATCTTTGTTACTGTTACTTTTCATCTCTAACAGCTCAGATAGAAAAGTACAGTTTTATAAAGTACTATGAAAGTGGGTTTATGCATGAACTCATTTAAGATATGGTGTAAGTAAATGACCAAGTATGTATGTTTTTCTCTCCCACGATAGGTTCTTCGGGTAGTTCGACTTATTAAGATTTCACCTGCATTAGAAGACTTTGTCTACAAGATATTTGGTCCTGGAAAAAAGCTTGGGAGTTTGGTTGTATTTACTGCCAGCCTCTTGATTGTTATGTCAGCAATTAGCCTGCAGATGTTCTGTTTTGTCGAAGAACTGGATAGATTTACAACGTTTCCCAGGGTAAGAGTAAAAAAATGAAGTCAATTTAATTAATTATTCTTATTTCAGTAGTAATGATTAACATCAAAGTGATTCACCTCCACAGTGGTTCTAAAATATTGTCATATCTTCAATAAGTTGGAATGATTCAATTTTAGTACTAAAAGTTGGCTTTTCTGCAGGGTGCAGGCATATGAGCACATCTTAGTATTGTCAGGTTATTCATCAGTTCTAAAATCCTGGAAATAATCTAGTAGAATTAGATGTGGATGTAAAGTTGGAAGCTGTGTTCTTAGCACCTACAAATGAAAATAGAGCAGTTTTAAAATAAAGAGTTTTGTGTTTGTGAAACGTAACATTTTAAAATTTATTTTATAGTTCATATTTTTATGTCAGGCATAACCTAGAAGGGAGCTTCTGATTTTCAATATAGTAAAATTCATAGACTCTTCAGATTTGAAATGTCTTTAGAAGAATCATCTAGTTCATGCTTTTGCATTCTCATTAGAATTCACTTAGTTAAAAAGTAAATTAAAAATCTGTCAATCCATGAACAGAACTCATGTAGAAAATATAGCTCCTAATCAGAAGGATCCTGAAATTTAACTTCTTATGTATTTGGAAACATGAAAAAATATAACTACCAAAACAAAGAATGCATACTTTTATCATAAGCTGATATAGTAAGACCTATTGTATGGGAAGAGCAATCTTGGGGTAAAAAGAGCATTTAAAAAAAATTTTAATAAGCTTTGGGGACAAAGATGTCCTTACTGACTACAAATAGACTAATATAGCCTGGTTTATTTGTTTTTTAAATCTTGTGCTAAATTTGTTATTCATCGCCAAGCATTTGTTGAGTACGTATAAAGAGCCAGGCAATTTTGGTGATCTTGGAACATACACACAATTAAGTCCCCAGTCCTCAAGAAATTCTTAGCTGAGGAAGGTAACCAGTAAGTAAACTTAAAGCATGACTTTGGTAAAGGCAAGCACAAGGTTCTCTGGGAACCCAGATGTAAGGTGTATAACCAGGAATGGAAAAATCCAAGAAGACTTCTTGGAACAGGTGACTACTGAAGAACAGTGGGAAGTAACCAAATGAAGTGTAGGATGCAAAGATAATAAATAAGCCTTAGGTCAGATCAGAGTTTGGCCAACAAATGAGTTTCCCCCACCTAAAAAGAAAAAAAAACCTTCGGGTATTTTCAAAATTTTTCTGATATTGAAGTTGTGAGTAAAGGCTTGTATTAAAAAAGTGCTGCAGGTAAGAATCTGCACTTCTTGTCATATAGGCTGATTGCCTATGCTCAGTCTATCACTTTTCAGCTCTATGACACTGGACAAATTACTCTTTAAGCTTTTATTTTTTTCATGTCTAAAATCGAGGTAAAAATAGTCTTTTCCTCATAACCTTGGGTGTCATGAATAATATACAAAAACCACCCAACTCTGGGCTTAGGAATACTTTTTTTGAAGTGATATTCTGCATAATGTATTTGAAGTCGGTTGTGTTATGTATCTGTATAAAAGACAAGGTTGCTTTAGAGGCAGCCATCCAGCTTAGCCTCTTGAGTTTGCTCTTTTTCCAGCCATAAGAATAATCAAGTAGCATTAAATTTTCAGACCTCCAATTACTCAGTTGTGCCTTTCTGCATGCTTACTTTGACCATCTTAATGAAAGCAGTCCAGGGACGACAGGGCGTCCTAATCACAGATTCAGCAGCTGACAGTGTTGACAATCTATGCGTGCAAAATGACTAGAAGGAGTAGATTTTTCCTTGCACATGAACATAATTAAGGATTATACCCCTGAAAAATAACCAGACTTTACAGGAATTGTTAAAATTATTACAGTTACAAAAAGTAGTCATTATCATTGCCAGTCAAATAAAGCCCCATTGGTTAGGGGTACGTGCCTGATAGGAAATCATCAGACAGCTGGTTAAAAACACAGGTCAGTCAATGTGAGATTGTATTTAGATGCTCGGTGGTGTGTCTTCCTCCCGCCTTTCCCATCTGACATCTCCCTCATTCCCCACTGGTTGGGTATTGAGGTAGGTTAATCCCAGCATTAGCCAAAACACACACATTAGGAGAATAACTTTTCTGTAAGAAGATTCTCATGATGCATCCTGAAGTAAAACAGGAGCTTTAAAAATCAACAGTTGTTTATATTAACTTTACCTGAGTCCAGGCCATCTTGAAGGCTGGCTGCCACCAACATACAGAGATCGTGGGATGCAGGAGAGCAAAGTGTGGGATCCCGGACTCTGGGAAGAAAGGAGGGGAGGAGGCCAGCAGAGGCAGGAGGAGCCGGACTTGGCAAAGGGACTCTGTGTGTGTGCCTAGGAAATAATTTTTCAGTGGCTATTCCTAAAGCCATGTAAGTGGAATATTCTCTCCAGGGAAATCAGACCAAATGTAAAGCTAAACACTGGTTTGATTGGACCTGATTACGTCAGGAGCCCCAGCTCCCCACTGTGAAACCATTCTAAGGACCCGACATGGACACGCAAAGATGGTTTCCCCATCCAGATTCCAAGAAGACAATCCTGGCAGGAGAGCAGAGGAAGCAGCCACCTGGCCCTCTGAGTGACAGTCCAGGGCCTTGACCCTCTGACACAGCCCCACCCACACTGAAAGACCCCAGGCACTTCCTGAAACACTACAAGGTGAAGGGATCCTACAGGGGTCTCTCACTTGCATTATTCTACTGATTCTCTGTGGGTCTCCCTGCCTCTTGGCCACACTTCAGTCTGTTCTCCATTTGCAGTAAAATACTCCTTCTGAGGTGTGATTCGTCTCGTGGCACTCTCCTGTTGAAAGTGCTCCAACGTCCTGCTCTCCTTAAAGTAATACATTTTATATGGTTTTTAGAATGTCTTCATCTCTGGCCGCAATTACCTCTTTGGGCTCATATTTCAGGATTCCCCCCACCATGCCCTTCAAGAGCAGAGAGGCCATCTATCCTGCCCCCTAAGTCCTCCATGCTTAGCACAATCCTTGCCACAGAGTGGCTGGTGAACACGTTTTTGAATAAAGAATGAGTAGTAATTCCAGACCAAAGCAAACGTCGGCCGTTCTTCACACAGTACCAGGTCAACAAGCCAGATTCTTTCTTCCACCTTGTCCGTGCCTCAAGGACCTCCAAAGGAAGATGTGGAGAAGATGGCTGCATGATGGGAGTGGCATCTACAAGCCCCAAACAGCCAAAGCTAGGAGCAGCAGGAGACTCCTTCAGAGGGAGCCCTCAGGGGAGCGTGGTCCTGCCAGCACCTTGATTTCAGACTGCTAGCCTCCAAACTGTGAGAATAAACTCCCATTGTTGTGAGCCACCCAGTTTTGGCTACCGCAGCCCTAACAAACTAATGCAGTCACCTGCTCCATGTGTTCTTCATGTGTTAGCAAAATGGATGCGACATTTCCAGCCTTTGTGCTAAAATCTAAAGGAAGAGTGGGGTCGTCTCTGCCTGGGTCTCCTTAAGAGTAAGGACACCTCTCCCAATACCATCCCCCACTTCCCCCAGAAAATTTGCTCTCCTTTGTCATTGGCAGATTGGGTAACTCAGTCATTCCTAAACAAATCATTGGCAAGACAGCTAGAATCAGAATGATTGGCTTAAGTTAATCACATGCGGAGACAACCACACAGCCTCTACAGTGTTCAGACCCAAAATCTGGACAAGATTTCTCTCTCTCACCTCTTCTCCCCAAAGCTCCTATGTGACCTGTACAAACAGGTTTTGTAAAGAGTCACACAGTCGGTGGAAGCTGGTGGTTAGCTTCTCACCAGAAGCATCTGGGCCCCAGCTCCTTCCCAAGATGCCTCACAGCACCTGCCAAGCCGCCGGCAGAGCACCTGGCAAGCAGTAGATTCTTGTTCACCCTCCTTTTATGGCAATTGCCACTTTCTGTCACATGCCATCGGCCTTTGTACAAGGTCTTAGTGCCTCTGCTAGACCACAAGTATCTTGAGGTTGGCAGTACTGCTCTGTCCTCTCCTGATACCCCCTGAAGGACATAACACTGTGCTGTGGGATCCGAAGCATCAGGAGGTAGAAATGGCCAGTGGAGCCTCAGCAGAGATCCCATGAGTTGGAGAAGGGGAGCTTGAAATTTTCCAATGGAATAAAAAGGATATATTGATAGAATTCGATGAAACTACTTTGTGATCTCAAGCCAACAACTTTCTCTTCTAATTTGGACCAAACAGACATTTTACTGTGCAGAAATAATGAAGAGATCGAGTCCTGCTGTGAGGCACTATCCCACAGTTCCTGTTCTGTTGGGGCTTATAGGTTGTATTGTAAGCGGAACAACTAGGTTAACTTCCCAGAATGCAACAGCCCCAAGAGGCCGTAAGACCTGTTGGCATAAGCAAGAGGCGACAGTCTTTCTGTTACAAGGACTACAACAAATTGCATGCTTCCCATAGCTGCCTAACAAAAGTTTATGCTCACAGTCTCAGTACGGTTTTGTTCAGTTTATCCCTCCACTTAGTGTAGAGAGCAACATGCCTCTAAGTTACCAAAACACATGCAGAAAACACCCACTGTCCATCTTGAACCAACTCAGTATCTCTATTCCTTTTCATTTTTCACTAAAATAAGAATAAATAGACCTGATTTGTTTTGCAGTTCTACAAATAGGGATAGTTTTTATTCATAAATAATATACCCTCCATAACACCAGATACTTAACATTTTAGTATTATTTATTTCATATGTTTTCTGAATTTGAATTCTCTAAATGCTAATTACATGCTCCATTGAATTTGTACTTATAAAGTCATGTCCAAAGCAGTTACACATGATGAGTAGTAAATGCTATAAAATATTTAATCACAAATTAATTTCCCTGTTTCTTCTCGCCACCAAACTGGCTGATCATGGTTTTAGTTGTACGGAAAGGATTACTGAGGAATTTGAAGGAAAAATTTGCTCCTTAATTTTTTTTCCTCATTTTCCAAATGGAGTTAGTTTGACTAAATTTTTAATGAATTCAAGGGTTATTTTATC